ACTATGACGTAAACTGAAAGGTCGATGAAGCAAACCGAAGGCTACAATAACTGCTGATGAAAGAACATGGGAGCTGGGGAAAATGGAACCTCTGCCTCTATGAAGTTCTTAGCTATTCAATTATTACTAAAATTTAGCAAACGTTGCTTTTACATCTAAGCTTTTCATGTCCCTGATCTAGAATACTCCTTCGTTTGTTGACTGATATATGGAGCAATGTTTCAGAATTCGGACATCAATTTTGCTTCCTCTAAATCAAAGTCCCACGGTAGCCGCAAAGCGTGAATAGCGACGTTTGAAAATGATCAAATAAAAACCCATTTGTGAGGTCTCTGAGTATAGACCTGTTGTAGGCAACTGTCGGCAGCTTCAAAAAGTAAAAAAAAAAAACGGCGGCTTTGTTGGGATAACAAAAGAGCTCTACGATTACCCCCTGCTTCCTATAACAATTTAAAAGCCCTGGCCTGTGTGTTCTATGTTGTTACACTTAAGTGCTTGAGTGTTACACTTAAGTGCTTAAGTGGTCAAACGCCAATAAGTTCTGACTAAGACACAATAATGTTTCATCGGCCCGCCGGTAGTTAGTAGCCAATCGTAATGGTCAGTTAACGATCTACCACGCTTGACTGACGGTATCAGTATTCTTGCAACTATTGACAGTAGGCCTACTGCTATTAGTCTTATTGATTGACAGTTTAATGACTCTTATGACCTATGAAAGAGACATGACAACCCCAGAAGGACATTTATACGCATAACAACAGTGTTTCTTACCTTTGTCTGGTCAAAGAACTTCGTATCACCCTGTATTTATATGTTTTTTATGTTTCTAATCTCTCTCCCGGCAAACCGGTTCCTTCCTTCTGCGCGAAGAAGCCTGCACGGTAGGTGTATGCACGTCTGCTAGGACTCGTCATTCAGTACCAACACTGCACAGCAAGTCTATTGATCTCTTCTCTTTGTACAGATATTTTCAAGATCGAGATTTTCTTTTGCTTTACCCTTCCGTCAAGTCAACACGCCTAACGGTACCACTCAACACAACGATACCCATTGTTTATAATGTCGTCATGGCGATAACCCGCCATGTTTGTATTGATCGGATTTCCTCCCTTGTGTTATGGTTCAGTTCACGATCGTTGCTGCAGGGCGATATTTTCACTTTGAAATGCTGCCCCGCCCCTAAATCTGTTTCTGTCAAATGTATGTTGACC